TATATATATATGTTTTAAAAAGGTTTTTTGCCATAGGAGATGTGTGCTCACTGGAGAGAGACAGAGATAAGAGGAAAGTGAAAATCATCCCTCAGGGGGATAAGTAAACCACAATCCCTTCTCTTCCATTCTCCTCTTGGGATTTTGGGCATACACACATACATACCTAGTGTGTTTTTCAGGCCATTCGGTCTGGTTCTTCAACCACAGAGTCTGCCATGTGGGCTACAGTGCCTTAACCACCATGCCACCTGCTGCTCCTCCTATGTATGTGTATATGTGTATATATATGTGTGTGTGTGTGCATTACACAACTTTTTTTTGAGAGATTTTTTGCTATAAGGCACACGCACTTGCTGGAGAGATAGAGAAAGACAGAGAGACAGAAAGCAAGAACTCAGCCTCCAGGAGGGATGGACACATGTGGGAATCCAGTGACATAATTGCTATGCCATCTGCTGGCCCCATATTTTTTATATAGATATTTAGGCCTAAATACCCCTATATATTTTTAAGAGAATTATTAATTTAATTTAATTAATTTATTATTATTATTATTATTTTATTATTATTATTATTATCATTTTCTAATTTGCTACAAGGCAGGTGTACCCACCAGAGAAAGACACACAGGGGTGGGAGAAGAATGAGAAAGCAAGCTGCCTGGACCATGGCTGGCCATATAGGAGCCCAGTGCCCTAACCACTATGCCACTTGCTGGCTCCCTCCACCCATATTTTTTTATATATTGGTATTTAGGCCTACATACCTTTTTTCCCCTGCATAGATATTTCAGCCTAATACATTTTTTTTTTTTGAGAGGTTTTTGCTATAGGGTGCATGCGCTCGCCAGAAAGACAGAGAGAGACAGAGAGACAGAAAACAAGAAATCACCCCCCGGGGGGATGGCCATGCCACAATCCCTTCTCCTCCATTCTCCTCTCGGGATCCTGGGCATGCACGCACATGCGCCTGGTGTGAGTTTAAGCCACCAGGTCCAGGATTCGAACTGTGGTCGACTACATGGGAGTCCAGCAATATAGCCATTACACTAACTGTTGGCCTCCAACCCGATACCTTTTTATAACAAAACGAAACAAAACAAAACAGAGATATTTCAGCTTTAAAACCTATTTTTTTTACATACGTATTTAAGCTTAAATATTATAATCTATATGTATTATAGATTTAAACTTAAATATGTGTATACTTGGTGCAAAAAATTGAAATCCATGCATAGTTTTTTCATAATACACATTTTTGGTGGACTTTTCAAACACCCCTTTTACATGGAATTTGAACACCTTGGACCTGAAAGAGGAGTTCGAGGCATAGGGCAGCTTGCAGTGCTCCCACACTTTTCCTCGGTAGGACCCACCCTGATGATATAGCAGCCTCAGGCAAGTCCAAGAGCAGCAGAACTGGCTGCTCAGCCAGAGGCCAGCAGCCCGGACACTGAGGGTCCCCGGCTGAGGGATCGTCCCCCGGGTGCCTGTAGTGGGAAGGCCCTACGGTGGCCCAAGTTGAGAGGACAGGCAAGGACCAAGCTGAGGGCGAAGCAGGAGGTCAAGTAGAGAAAAAGGCAGCCAAGGAGGCTACAGAGGGGAGCGTGCAGAGGTGGGAGAGGCAGGACAGATGAGGCCAGGCATCCGCAGGGCCTGAGCTCCAGGAGAGTCAGGCCTGAGCTGAGGCAGGGAGGGTGGAATTTGGCCTCTGCCAGAGAGGCTTGTGAGCAGAGTGGAGGTTAGACTTCAGAAAGCAAGGAAAAAGAAAACATGAGGCCAGCTGGTTCTCACCTAAGAATGGACTTTGGGATGCCTCTGTCAGTTCCCCTGGATGTCTCTCTCCTCCCTCAGTGCCCTTTACTCCTCCCACCCACAGCTCCCCTGGGGACTAGGCCGCCCTGAACCTTGCTACTTCCTGCTCCTGGTGGCCAGTGCTCAGAGACTATGGAGCTGTGGATGCAGCTGAGGCAGGCTGGACTGGTGCCCCTGGGGCTGGGCCCACTGCCCCGGGCCCTCAGTGGGGACTCGCAAGTGGAGAGTCCTGGCCCAACCCTCATGTCTCCAGGGGAAGACAGTGGAGGTGCCAGGGAGTTTCTGCTGTGGATCTGGAAGGAGCTGGTGAGTGAGGGGTGTGGAGTGACAGAGATGGGGAGAGAGAGAGAGAGAGTCTGAGTGAATGGGAAAGAATGAAAACAGAAAGGACCAGAGATTGAAAGATGGAAATAGAGAAATATGAGGGTACTTCAAAACGTTGGTGGGAAAGTAGAATTAAAATACACGTTTATTTTGGTGCAAAAAATGTTGAGATCCATGCATAGTTTTTTCATGATATACATTTTACTGAACTTTGTGAAGAACCTTCCTCTTTGAGGCAGAGACAGAGACAGAGAAATCCAGAAAGAGAAATAGAGGCGGAAAGCAAAGATTAAGAGTAGGGTGGCCCAGCTCATCCCATACTCTGGTCATGTGTGCCTGTAGTCCTGGCTGGCTGAAGGCAAGGGGGTGGATCATGATGTAGCAAGACCCTGTAGAGGGTACTTGCTTCTCTCTCTCTGTAAATAAACTTTAAAAAGATCAGGAAGAGATAGACAATTTCAGAGGAAATAAAGACATAGTCGGTGACAAGGACAAGGAAGAACAGAGAAGACAGGATCAAAGACAGAAAAGTTGAGACAGATAGATTACAAGAAGGGACAATGGAAGAACAAGAGAGACAGTGGGACAGGGAAGGACGATGCAATACAGACAAACACAGACAGGTGGCGATGGAGAGACACCATGAGAAGCAGGATGACAGTTTGGGTTCCGGGATATGGGGGGTCCTCATCCTCTGGGTGGAACACCCGTGACACCCGCCCCGTTCATGTCAACAGGAGAACCTGCGCCGAGTAGATGTCCAGCTGCTAGGCCAGCTGTGCAGTCTGGGGCTGGAGATTGGGGCACTGCAGGAGGAGCTGGACACCATCCTGGAGGAGGAGGAGAGCAGTGAGGAAGAGGAAGAGGAGAGTGGTGAAGAGGAGGAAGATGAAGAGTCCCAGGGGAAGCTGGAGGAAGGACAGCAGAGGGCCTCCTGCCCAGCTCCACGCCTCCCTGACTTTGAGATGACTATTTGAGGCTCTGCCAGGGCCCCTTATCCTGACACCTGAGTGAGAGGCTGATTCATGTAAAGGGGAGGGACGGCTTGCAGGTCAGATGAGCTGTGGCACCAGCGCGTGCTGCGTGAGCAGGGCTTTCTCTGAAGGCGTCTGCAGTGAGGTTTGGGCATCGGCCTGGGCGCTGTGGGCAGATGTGAGGCTGTGTGTGCGGATGACGGGGGAGGCTTCAGACGCTGCGGGTGAGCGTGGGGAGCGATGGAGATGCTGGCAGATGAGGGCTTAGATCAAGGCTGAGTGCGGCAGCCACTGGCTACTGAGGACTTGAAACATGGTGAGTCCAAACTGAGATGTGCTGTGAGTGTAAAATACACACCGAATTTCAAAGGCTCACATGATATAAAAGAATTTAAAACATCTCAATAATTGAAAAAATTAATTACGTGTTGACATGATAATGCTTTCAGTATGTTGGGGTAAAAATTACTAAAATGAATTTCAGCTGTTTGTTAGTATTATTATTTTTTAGAGAGATTTTTGCTATAGGGCACATACACTCACCAAAGACAGAGACAGACAGAAAGCAAGAAATCACCCCCCAGGGGGATGGCCACACTGCAATCCCTTCTGCTCCATTATCTTCTCAGGATTTTG